GCGCCAGGCGCGTCGCAGCGTAACAGTGTTTCGTGAGATATCGCGAAGCCTGTTACGCGAGACGTGGTCTGGCGTACATATAGCTAGTAGTAGGTTTCAAGTGCTCAGGCCGGCTCCCAGGTTTTTAGCCCGCCCATCTGCTTTGAAAAAGCTATCTAGCGGGCTTATGCAAACGACCTCGTGTGTCTGTGTGTCTGTCTGTCTGTTCCACTAGAAGGAGATGTGCTAGAGACTTGAAATTTTCAGGGTCTCTGAAGGTCCACTCCTAGAGAACAAAACGCCTACGGCAAATCCTGGCAAACACCCCTAAGGGTGTGAATGGGGGTATCCAAGGTTCAAAAATTCTCCCAAAAAGTTTTTTTTTAACGTTCTCCTAAGGGGTAACTCGTCAAAGTAGAGCCCTTTGGGCGAAAATTTCGTCCATTTTGCTCTATCTCTAACCGTTTAGGCGCTAGAGGGTCTTTTTTGACGAAAAGAAGCTTAAAATTGTCGTAGTGAACAATCAGTTGTAGAAAAAGGCCTAAAAACCGCAATATAGAAAGGAAACTCTCCCCCTTCCCCCCAAAAACGTTTCCTAAGCAGAAGGGTGGGTTGTAGTCGCGGTGCTACGCCGTTACATCTTTTTCTCGAGTCTTTGGGGCAAACTCAAAGACGACGGGTTAAGGCGGGCCGAAGGCCCGCTACATCATTCGATCATGTTCTTCAGCAAGTCGAGTGACAGAAATGGTCGGGCCGCAGGCCCGACCATCGCCGCCGGCAGGCCAAGCAGGCCCGGCCCCTGCCGAACGGAGTTGCCAGCGGAGCGAAGCGGAGCTGGCAACTTCGTCTGGCGAAAGGGCGGGCCTGCTTGTTAAACAGTATCACAAAGCACATCTTCCTCTTCCCAAGTAACAGGGATTAGTCAAGAATACATCAAAATGACATAATATTGACCTAGTTGGCTGAGCGATTAGCGAAGCCTATTACTCCAGTGACGATCAAAAAGTTTCGCGTCTGTCTGTCTGTGTGTCTGTCTGTCTGTCTGTGCGCACGATAACTCGAGAACGAATTGAGCTATCGACCTGGGATTTTCAGGGTCGTTTTGTATCATAACAAGGTAGATGTACGCCAGACCACGTCTCGCGTAACAGGCTTCGCGATACCTCACGAAACACTGTTACGCTGCGACGCGCTTGGCATACATCTACCTTGGCCTGCGGCGCTGACACCCGAGTCAGGTAG